GTGGTAGTGGTAGTGGTAGTGGTAGTGGTAGTGGTAGTGGTAGTGGTAGTAGTAGTGGTAGTAGTAGTAGTGGTACTAGTGGTACTAGTGGTACTAGTGGTACTAGTGGTACTAGTGGTACTAGTGGTACTAGTCGTACTAGTCGTACTAGTGGTACTAGTGGTACTAGTGGTACTAGTGGTACTAGTGGTACTAGTGGTACTAGTGGTACTAGTGGTACTAGTGGTACTAGTGGTACTAGTGGTACTAGTGGTACTACTAATACTACTAGTACTACTAGTACTACTAGTACTACTAGTACTACTAGTACTACTAGTACTACTAGTACTACTAGTACTACTAGTACTACTAGTACTACTAGTACTACTAGTACCAGTAGCAGTAGTACTAGTAGTACTAGTAGTACTAGTAGTACTAGTAGTACTAGTAGTACTAGTAGTACTAGTAGTACTAGTAGTACTAGTAGTACTAGTAGTCCTAGTAGTACTAGTAGTCGTAGAAGTAGTAGAAGTAGTAGAAGTAGTAAAGTAATAGAAGTAGTAGAAGTAGTAGTAGTAGAAGTAGTAGAAGTAGTAGTAGTAGAAGTAGTAGAAGTAGTAGTAACTACTTTACCTTCCACGAGGGGCACAAGCGAGAAAAATACGGGGGCACAAAGCGATCCAGCGACCCAAAGCTACTCCCTCACTGAATGCATTCATCAATGCCACACAACGTGGATTGTCATGAAACGCTGCTTTCAAAATGGACATCAACCTCCTAGGCCTCGCCTGCTGTACTGAGCTCAAAGCACTCCATCTGATAGGTCCTGGCCATCTACTACTGTGCTGGATTTCCATTGAAAACTCCAAACTACCACCAGCTGCCCAGGATGACAACTCATCCAAATAGCCAGCCCATCCTAAGACTTCCTCTTCTCTAGTCTTCCACGTACTTACTGGAGTCGGTGCTGGGGTGAGCCACTTCTCACTCTTTGCAAAAACGTCAAGTTGTTGCTGGTTTCCATGGTTGTTTGACTGTTGAACACCAAAACCAAGCAAAACATCAAACGGCTGCGGAGTCACAAACGACGAATCAGCTGCCCTACCAAGACCATCACCAAACACTTCTGGAACCCCTCTTCTTTGCTGCATAGTCACAAAACGATCTTGCATATGCTGTTGCACTGCCTGCAACTGCCCTTCATTCAGATTACCTAACATGGCCATGACCTCTTGGATCTGCGCTGCTTGAGGCGTCAAACCTCCCAAAGTCGCTCCAACCGGGCCACTCGGCATGTTTCCTTGGTAATTCATCGGGTTCACTCCTAAGTTTGGAAAACCACAAGACCTTGGTTGACCAGGCATACTCGCACAACCAAAACTCGGTACACGCGCTTGCGCTGTCTGCTGCATAAACGTTTGTTGGGAATCCATTGCGCACCAAACCATGCTGGTCCCTGTTG